CCGGCCACAATCAAACTTTGTTGCGAACCTTCCACCACAACAATCCCGCCCCCTTGATAATTGACCAATCACATTCACTTTATTCACTCGTGTAAAGTCGTGCACCACTTGAGAGAATTGGCATGGCCGTTTCCCTATGATTTTAAGTAACATTTTTCAGGGATTTCAAAACTATTGGCCTGCAAATGTTTTTCAATTCGAAAACATGTCGGAAAAAAAATCACACTTAAATCAAATAAATGTTAATTTACAAATTTTATAATCCAATATTTTTAATTGACAATAACCTGAAGCGAAGCGTGAACTGAATTTCAGAGCGAACTGGAGCGGAGCAAAATCCTCGCTCCGGCCTTTGAATTGAAAACCGCTCTGCGCTCCACTATATTTCTTCCGCTCCGCTCCACAGCTCGCTCCGCTCTGCTCACATGCTCTGGTTGAGGCCTAACCCATTCACCATGGGTCATACAAACAGAACCGTGGTCAGACGCCTGCAGCCTGATCCAAATCCCAGGCTGTAAAAATCCAACATTATCCGATATGTCAGTCCTGGCAGGGCCCTGGATGCCGCCGTAAAGCTTCTGTAAGGGTGCTGCCAACATTCTACCATCAAAGCAACAACTCATCAATTCAAAATACTTTGTTGACACTTGATCTGGAAGCGCCTCCTTCAGCTAGACCTGAATAATAAATGAGTTTCCAAAAAAAACTCACAGTGAGGGTCCTGGAGCACAGCCTGAGGTTAGAACCCACCTGAGATTCCTCAACATCGCCTGAAAACAGCCTTTTGCTGCTAACATTATATAATCAGAAAATGCTTCATTGCCAGGTAGCGTTTTGACACGTGTGAGGAATGAGTGTTGGTGATGAGGCTGTAAATGTTACCCAGAGGTAACTAGAACATTGAATATCCAGGTGGAAAAAGGTCCCGCTCTTTTTCACCCTCATGTCCCTCCGTTGTCGGACAAACTTGCCCCCACTTCCTCACCCCCTCGGCCGTATCTAGACCCACAGCTAGTTCCTGATTGTCCCTCTTAGGTTGTGGAGTGGAATAACATAGTGCAGACCACGCTTCAATATTGGGCATAAATCAAAAATGTCTGCATCAAGCTCCTGGTGACACACTGCTGAGGGAGGATAACCAGACATTTACAGTTGCTTTTTGTGTCTCTGCTTCTGTCTCCTTGAACCCCAGTCGGCCTCAGCAGATGGCCGCTCACACTGAGCCTGGTTCGGATGGAGGTTTCTTCCTGTTAAAAGGGAGCTTTTCCTCTCCACTGTCGCTACAAGCATGCTTAATGTGAGGGATTGCCTTCAAGTCAATGAGTCAATGCAATCAACTGGTTTTCCTTAGAAAGAAAACTTTGAATCAATGTGACTGGATGATCTGGTTGAACTGTAAAGTGCCTTGAGATGACGTGTTGTGAATTGGTGTTATATAAAAAAAAACTGAATTGAATTTAATTAAAAAATGTCCCATTGATCCTTTAGTGTTGCATTTGGAACTAAGACCTACTTGGATTTAATCTGAATCGGCTCTGAGACAAAGTGTTTGGAGAAGGATGTTTTAGGACAGGTCAAATGTTTCTCATTTTTAATTCAACCAAATGTAGTCATTTTGGTTTATTTTGATGGCACCAAAGTGACAATAAAATTTTATGCTAATGATGAAGATGGGCAAAGCATAGATGTGAAATTATGACTATGAAGACAAAATGTCAGAAAAAGTAAAACATCTAATTTTCTTTCCCATTTCACCTCTTTCTGTTTATCGTCTTACCTGTCAGAAAGAAGAAAGATTGGAAAAGGAGGACTTGGAAGAAAGAAGGAGAGAAAACGAGTGCGACTCCTCGCCAGAACCCGCTCAGCTACGGCAGCAGCAGACACCAGCAGAGTGCTCCGAGGCGCCTGAATCGGATCCAGCTGAACCGCCGGAGCTCACGCCCGTCTGCTGACAGCAGAGATCCGTCAGCCGCCCTGCAGCTCGTTTCCATGCAGCTGATTCATCTGGAAAATGGAGGAAAAGTAACACCTGTACAGAGTGGAAATGTTTTAGTTTCTTCCCATAACCTGTGGAGGAAAAAATCCAGTGAGGGATTTTAATAAAAAAAGCAAAAATTAAGTCAAGAAGGATTTTCTTTATGGTGTTCTGCTCATCTGCACTGATCCACAATTATATTTAATTAGGTTTTCTGTTTAATTTGGTCCATTTGCTTTATCAGAGTGGTGAAGCAGATCCAAAGTATGAGCATAAAAGCCCGGTTCGTCTGGGTCAGTATGGCCCAGTTTAGTCCAACTCCGTTCCAACTCAATGTAGAATGGTTTAAATCCACTTTGACCAGGACTGCATCCACAAATGGCCGCCTGATATCCTCTATATGGAGATATCAGTCAGATAGAAGCATACGAACCATAGGATCCAGGAAAGATCAAAAGATCAGAGCAGAAGCTCCACCAACCGGGTCACCAACAGGACCATGATACCAAACACTGCAGAACCCCCCCCCCCCACACACACACACACACACACACACACAGGAAAATGTCCAGACATCTGGAGGTTTTATTTATGAGTAATTTTGCTCTGTTCTTCCTACAGCAAAGAAAATGTTTTGTACATGGATATTTTAAAGAAAAATATTTCATAATTTAAAAGGAAATCTAGAAATAAAAAAAAGGTTTTCTTAGATTGTATTCTTTTTTTCAAGATTACAGATTATTACCCTTTACTTTAAGCTCAATAAAAATGTTGTTGCTAAGGTAGAGCAGACCAAGAAAAAAATGCTTCATTGCTCCTCATTCCAGAGGAAAGCCCAGGAGGGAAGATGGTGTCATCTACAGAACACAATTTGAGAAAAGGAAGGAGGATGAAATACATGGAAATTGGGCAGAAAAATATACATTTAAAAAAAGCTTTTTTTTTCTAACTTAAAATCTGTAATATAAATAAATAAATCAAAGAAAAACAAGGAAAACAGTTTCTGGATTGTATTTCTTCTCAAATTTCCATTTACAACGTGATTTTTTTTGGAGTAAAATTCACTCCATATTCCCTAGTCAATGCCGAGCGTCCATTGGACCTGAGAAAAGATGGTTCCCGGGTTTACGGCCCCCCAGCAGGAAGTCCAACAGGAACCAAGGTTTCCTGATGGTGGAGCAACGCGGCAGGCTGCTGCTGCTCTCATTTAAAACAAATGCTTTAATTCCAATAAAAACAGCCATATTGGATTTCCTTTCACTTTGAATCAAGCCTTTTCCAGTTGTTTTTGTCCAACCTGTTCATTCTAAACCTATGGAAGAAAGAATTAGTTAAATGGCAAATATTCTCTTAAAAAAAGGCTTTTTTTTAAGAGAATATTTGCCATTTCAAAGAACATTTTTGCATTTCCAAGAAACCTGTATACAGAACATTTCTACAAGTCCATCAGCAGACTCCAAAACGTCTGCAGGACTCTAATAAGGTGAACTATGCAGAAGAGAAAAACTCTAAGAGGGTTTTCATCTCCTACAAGTTTGACCCAAACCAATGCAACGTGAGGGCTTCTAATGCATCACATTATTTTTTCCTTCTGGTTGAAACTAAAACGCGCTGCATTTTGCAGTTTATTCATTTTTCAGTGAAAAAGTAATCAGTCTTTCAAACTTTGCATCTAAAGCTCAAATCTAAAGCATTTTTAATTAGAGAACCATATAACATGACTGAGCTGTAAACATGGGCGTAGCTTTATGTGTCGCTTTAATCCAGGTTGATTTATCTGGTATTGCACATTTAAATTTTGCTTTTCTGTATCTTTATCATCCACTGCATATTTATCACTTTTCATCTGATGGAAAGGGAAAGGATGCATGAGTGGGTGTTTTGTTGTCATCACGTGGAGAAAGGAAAACCTTTGGAACTGCAGCCAGTTGAATTGTGGTAGATTGCTTAAAAGTCAATGACTGCATGTAATCTGCTGGATGTCCTTAGAGGAAGATCTTCGCTCGATCTGTCTGGATAATCTGATTAAATAATCTCTGTAAAGAGCCATTGGATGATGTGTTGTGGATTGGCGTTTTATTAATAAACTGTATTATAAAAACTGAACTTTTTCTTTCATGCTCTTTTGTTCGGACATAGTTTCCATTAACTAATCTTTCCAATTAAAACAAGCTGCTGATGCTCTAAAAATCTGGATTGATTTTCTCTTTAAACTTTTCACCTAAAGCTGTTCTCTGAGGTCTTATCTGAAAGCTCAAAAAAAATAAAAATAAAAAATTTGATAAAAATCCAAACAGCCGATCAGCTAATTGACCCTTAGAGTTTAATCTGGTTCTGTATGGTGTGAATTTGGTTCCATTATTCTTGCAAACTAAGAGTGTGTTCTGGAAATTGGAAAACACACATTTTGTAAAAAATAAAGTTTAAAAACAAAAAATCTATGCCATTCAGAAAATGAAACTTTGATCAAAAAAGGTTTTAAGAGTAACTTTCCGGTTTTCTCCAATTAAAAAAAATATATATATTTCATATTTACTTTTTTTAAAAATGTTATTTTTCAAATTGCATATTTTTCATATTTTGTAATATTTTTCCAAAATTTACCATCTCTTTTTTTTTATACATTTTATATATTTTTTCGATTTTAGTTTTTCAAATTGTTTGTATGGATTAGATATTTTTTTTATTTCTGTTTTTCAAACTCAGGTTTTTTTTTTTTTTTTAAACGGCATTGTTTTGAAATTGTGTTTTACAAACCGCTTTTTCTTCACTTAAGTCCCAATATCAAAGCCTTTTTTTTTTATGCACACAATAAAATAAAAATGCTGTTGCTAACGTCCAGACCAATAGAAATCAAGGGAAATGCCTCCCCCAGAAGTCAAAGGGAAGTGATCTTGAAAACACAGTTTGATAAGAATTTAATTTGTAAAACTCAATCTATTAAAAAAAAGTACAATATATGTTAATTTTTCTATAAAATAAAGGAAAAAAGTATATATAATCTTAAAAAAAAAAATTCCCTCCATAGGTCTGTTTCTGATGCTTGATTTAAAGGACCCATCACCCAAAAATCAGACTTTTTAAGGTTCAAAAGCATTCATAGGCTACTGTGTGGGCTCTTCGTTCAAACCACATATGCTCTCAAGAACATGCTGTCCATTAAGCAGATTTCAGTCCGTTTTGAGCTTTGCCAACATGCAAAAATGAAAAATAAGGGACACTTTAGTAAAGAGTTTTATGTGTGAATTGAGCCAAAGAGCCATTTGCAGCTCTGCAGATAGAGCAGAAAAAAACCCTGTGATCTCTATACAGTAGCAGCCATTTAAAATGGCCCTTCCCAGCCAAATGGAAGCCAACTTCCAGCCTCTGGAGTGACCCCCTCCTTCTCCTGGGCATGCATATTTTCTACTCTGACTCCAACTTTTCATTGAATTACAGGGTCTGACCAGGAGATGGTGCTTCTCTTTAGATCTTAATGTCCACAAATCATGACAGAGAGAATATTTTAGCACAAAGATTGATGTTTAAAAAGGAATTGTAGGGGACCAGCCAAGGGCCCATCAAGAAAAGTGGAGAAATTTCGAATGGCTACTACTGTACCAACAATGCCAAAAATATAATGGCATAGCAACTTATTGCACAGGTAAAGTTATAGTGGAGGATATTCAATCATTCTGGTGATGTGTTTACGTAAGGCCGTCCTATGTGCTCCGCCCCATTTTCACTTACCAGTGGTGAGTCTGACATAGTGGAAAAATTGTAACTTTTCTTTTGAAAAGTAAGCTTGTATAAGTGATGCAAACAGCAACTTTTAAACAGAGCGTGGCCGAGGAGAAATGGGCTCGTGCATTTACTCGCACGCCTTTAATAACCGTCCCTACTGGGAGCGGGTACAGGGTTGTTCATGTGCAGACGGCGGGTCTTTTCAAAAATGGTTGAAAATCCACCTGGTGCATAAGATGCTCCTGGCCGTACCACCAAGAGGTAGTCCCTTAGTGCAGAGTGAGGATAAAGAGCTTTTTTAATATATTTTCTGCACTAAATGCTCCCAAGCAGCTTCTCAATCAGAGCTACGATACGAGAAGCAAACTCTTCTGCATTCTCCAAGAAATCAAGCATTTTGTTGGGAATCCCTCAATCTGTATGAAATAATCCCTGAATACTGGCTCCACAAAAAATAAAAAATAAATAAAATAAAATAAAAAAATACACCGAAGACAACAAAACCTTTTTCATGTCAGAAAATGTTCCGAAGATTAAATTTTCTTTATTTTATTCATTTAATCTGTTAGCTTGACCTTATCTTTTAATGGCTATTTCTATCAGTAAGTAAAGTATATAAATTAATTTATGCTCATTCAGAAATAGCTCTTTTCTTATGGGAGGGAGATTCATGCATCTTTATAAGAAGTCCTCATTTGAAACAAATGAGTAAACAGATTAAACGCATGTATGCGTATATGTATGAGTTAATATCATGCAAAACAATCTTTCTGGAGATGCAGATAAAGAAATGACCGAGTCTTATTTAGTATCTCCCAAATAGAATCTGGTCTTTATTTCTTCTGAGGCATAATGTAGAGCGGATGTAGAATTGACCAATCAGAGGCCTCCTGTCTGCAGTCGCTTACAATTTTGAAGAGGTGCAGCAGAGTGTCTGTGGAAGGGGCGGGGACATATTTGCGATCACTGGGACACACACACAGATGACCTGGTTTCTGACTATATCTCAGCTTTTACTCTTTTCATAAACATTTGGTTGATATACAGTTAGCTGAAACCAAAGCTAACAAATGTGGAGATAATTTTGATACAAAACATGCTTGTGTCCGCAATGCCAAATTTGTAACACATTTTGTGCTGATTTAAAGTATCTGTGTAATTTTCTTTTTAATTTGAAGTCTAAATAACATTTTGTGCAAAACCTCATGTACTTGTAAATGTGTGCTCAAAAACAAATATGATTAAATTATGAATACAAAATATGCACACACATACATACAAACCATTATATTCATGAATACAAACCACATGAGACACATGTATGGAGTTAGAAA